AGAATCAAGGCATATGAATAGGTCAGGGCATATGGTTGTTTTTGTTTCAGGGTTCTCTTTGTGAAATGAGTCTTCATGTTTCAGTCTCACTAAGTCTAGTACGTTGCACGGACATTACATTTTGGGTCTTTTTGTTTCAGGGTTCTCTTTGTGAAATGAGTCTTCATGTTTCAGTCTCACTAAGTCTAGTACGTTGCACGGACATTACATTTTGGGTCTTTTTGTTTCAGGGTTCTCTTTGTGAAATGAGTCTTCATGTATTGGTTCCGCTAAATATAGGAATGCGACACATGTTTGGGTCAGGGACACCATCTCTGGTCAGGTGTCCTTTTTGGTTGTTTTGGTAGAAGAATCGATGGCGATTCCTGGTTTACCTGGTCGTTTTTTCTCGTCTACCAGGGAAATCCATCTATTTCCCCTAAAAGGACACCTAAGCCCATGACGGGTTTCAGCCAGGCCACAATTTAGGGCTTATTTGGCCACATTTAGGGCGCCACTACTGTGGATGGACGAAATCCATTTCGCACTACCTATCAACCATGGTTGACACCATTGTTCGTTGGTATTTACAGGGCAATCAACATTCCAGGGTTTAATAGGTGGTGCAGGATTTCGTTCATCCACAGTATGTGGCCTTTTGGAAAAATAGATGGCCCTGGTAAATGGAACAAAGCCCATTTTAAACCAGTGGAACCCATCTATGTGTAACCAAACCTAAAAAGGACGCCATCAGCATGTCTCCGGTTGAAACCCGGCCACCTCTCTGGCAAAACGTGCTCAGCCCCGTGCTCAGCCCGCCACGCCGACTCCGCGGGAGGCGAAGGCTAGGGCCAAGTCCAAGCCGAAGCCTGACGAGCCGAAGGAGGAGCCCCTGCCGGAGCAGGCGCCGATCGCCCCCAATGTCTTTTTAGACAGCATAGTTGTTTTGTACATATATGTGACACGTGTATGTATATATATAGAGATTCAATGAAGTATATAAACAAATGGGTTTGTATATATAGCAGAGAAGAAAACAGCTATGAACACCCGGGTTTTCATAAAGCCAGTTAATCAAGTCCCTGAGTTTTTCCTTTGGGACCTGAAACGGTTGCTGTATTTTGTTGGAACCCACTACTGTAGTACACTGCAACCTCAGGGGAAGTGACCCCTGTGAGACGGAAACCGTCTCTTTGAACGACCTCCCCAAAATGGGCGCTTTCCCTTTGAATTCCCTCCAAACAGCTGAATTATTGCTGCCAAAGGGGTCAACACGGATATCGGAGCTTGTCGTTTCCAAAGGGGCACCAAAGCAAGACTGAGATATGCATTCCATGGCCTCACAATTTGCGTTTCGCATATTCGGTGGGGCCCGCTGGCAGATCCTCATGCAAGCCTGTGACTTCGTTTCCGAATGACCTTGCAGAACAGTTTGGGGGCACTGCTGTCTGGGTATGTGGCTGGTTCAATTCTTGGCTGCTATCGGGTTGGATCTTTAGACTTTGACTTTTTGGGAAATGTTTACTTATCCCACCAAACAGCACAGACATAAAATTGTTGCACAGGGATTGACCCAGCCAGATTGAATGACTCCAGGCCAAAGGCTAGAAGAAAGGGCAACACTTAACCAGCAGCTAGTAAACCTCCAGAGGGGCTGGTGTTCAATCACTTCACATGCGAGGGTATCAGTTGAGACGTCAGCAACAACTTTTCCGACCACTTCCACCATCGGCTTTGAGTTCTGGCATGTTTCAGTTGCCAAAACTGACTTTGTCGGGCTGCTTCCATTCGTGGCTGCACTCACGCAGCAGCTGCCTCTGTGTTTTCAGAGGGTTTCTGCATGCCGATCGCGCCAGCCCATTGTGGACTTTGCGATCGAAGCGCTGGCAAAGGCTGGGGACGGGAGCGGATCAGCCGCTTGATTTGCAGGCTGGTTTTGGAGAGCAGTTGTTTCCAATTTCCTTTGTTCAAATGCATTGTGTGTAAAAAACATCCTGTGTTTAAAAGACTCATGAGCCATGTAGCACTGCATTGTGCCTTTTGATTGAGCTTTGATGCAGTTTGAAGTACGCGTCCTTTTGGCAGCTGCACCAGTGCTTTGTCGGATGACCTTGGGTCTTGCTTTGAACAGGTCTCGCAAGGCCCAAACCAGTATAGCAAGCACCAACTGATATGCAGGGTGAACGGTGCGGACATATGGGAATGGCTCAAATTAAGGAGCTACGGTTACGCAGGTTTTAGTCTTTGGTTCCATTTACTGGGGTGCCATTTTGGTACCACTTTTTTGAGCCACAGCCATTATGTCAAGAGAGCATACAGCCGGTGCCACCAAAAATTTTTGGAGTCTGTCGCCCCCACGTGGGGCCCCAGGTCACTTCAGGCCGATGAGCTACATGCGAGTCCAATCGGACACACTCGAGTCCAAATGTAGCCGCTGGATTTTGACGCTTGTGACATATCTCTTGGGGAATCTCGCCACCGGTGTCCGTCCTTTGGAGAGGTTTTAACCAGGATGGCAATGAATCCCCTAGTGTCCTGGGTCAACCTTACCTGGCATCTTTGGCCTATGATGGCAAAGATTTAAAAATCCTGGGTCTGGGGTTGAATGTTGACCAAGTTTGGATTCAATCGTGATGTTCAACATCGTTCTGGGAATGCTGCCTTATTCCCACTTGAGCCACAATCAGATCCTGAGTAAAGTGACTCATTTGGAAGCTGGCCTCTTTTGGGCTTGTCTCAAATTGATGTACGTGGGACCCTCTCGGGAACGGTCAGACCCTTTTGACGATTCCTCGAAAATCTAAAGGGGGTCCGCAACTTTTTGAGAAGAACAGATACAGGTGGCTTCCATGGACTCTGGCTTGGTTTCGTATAGGTGAGTCCAGGGTTGCTTGGGGCAAGTTGAGGGGGTTGAGCTTGGTTTAGGCTTGGACAAGGCTTAAGTTCCGTTTGGTTCAAACACAAAGCAGCATCTCGGCTTTCGGGCTTCGCTCGGGCTTGTGAGCCCTGGGAGGGGGTCAAGTCGGTACTTCGACCGGTTTCCAGCGAACATCCAGGGCGAGCCCCAACTTTAAGCGGAACATCCAGAGATATTGTCATAGTTGTTGTTGGGCAACATTTTACATTTTTGCTTGTGGTTTGGTGGTTGAAATCCCCACTTAACTGCTAAAGTTTAAACTTTTGCTCCCCTTCCAACGTCCACCAAGTTGTAGTCTTCCCAGGCCTGCTGGAATTGCCAGCTCCGGACAACTCCGTTTCGTGTGGAGTCCCTTGCGCTCGCTGTAGCGACGAAGATCCGACGGCTGTGGCGGTCTTTTGTGGTGACTCGCACCCGGGTTGTAATTGTTTTCGCATCTTTGGTTGGTACACGAAAAAGATGAGGAACCGACACATGAGCCATAAACCAATCCCGGGTAGGTGAAGGTTAGTAAGGGAAACTCTCCACCAGAATCAGTTGCGGCCGCCTTTGTAGTTCCTTATATAGGGTACAACATTTTAATGCCAGGTTTTGATTGTGACTCACATGAGTCCCGAGAGTGCCAGATGTGCCTCCACGTTCCCCTCTCCAAAGGGGAACATCGGCCCACTCCACATGGGAACTGCAGGATGTACCTGAAAAAAAGGATGCCCTAAAAAGAAGCAAAGGGCCCACAACTTAAGAGGATTCCTACACTTTTGGGACAGAGGTCTCTACGTGTTTCGTTTGGCTCGTTCAAACTGCACGGCGAAAAGCGGGTGGATTCTTGAGCTTTATATATCGTTATTCCCTCGGAAGGGCCAAACACATAGCCTAAAAGGAGCGCCAAAAGGAAGGCAGGCATGTCCAACGGAAGAGGGCCAGCAATTGTTCTCCCCTAAAAGATGCGAAGCAAGCCAGGCTGGATTTCCTCCACTTAAATGGCCATGGGTCAAAATCCCGTATTCCCAGTGAACATCCCAATCCCCACTAAAATAGGTTCTAAAAAGGGTGGTGCACCTACCCCAAGATGGTACCAAAACGGTTTTGCCCCACAGCCAAATGGACAAAAAGCATGCCAAACACAAGAAGTGGGCCACAAATGGGCGAACCTTCCACCCTTTGATCTTGTGCAGGGCTACCTGGAGCTGAAGCAGATGGCGACCAGCACCATCGAGAGGCGCAAGAGACATTTGGGATTGCTCCGGCGCGGTCTTTGGGAGTTGTCTGGAGACGTTCTTGCCCTTGACTAAAGTAATGAACAAAAGGAGTAAAATCCTAGGATCAGGGTTGAACGTTGACCACCTGTTTGGGGATTGACTGTTAAACGCTCCAACAACAGTTTACCACTTTTGATGGCATGTGCTATTTGAAAAGCTAGGGGAATCAATGGAAAACCACCTTAAAGCCTTCCCTGGAAGCTGGAAACAAATGGCGCTTGCAAGAAGTCAAAGGAAACCAACCAGGAGTCGCTCGTGATGGTTCTGATTCATCCCTCCATCAATCGACGTACTCCAAACAAAAAGAATAATAAAGATACATGGCCCAAAGTAAGATAACAAGTAGTACATTATACAATATGTACACATATATATATGTATATGTACAAATATGTGTACACATATATTTACATATATATATATACATATATGAATATGATATTTAGTGTAGTATATGGTGTGAATGGTGGGAACATTTTTTGTTAAGGCAAGATCCATCCCTCCGGCCAGGTACAACACCAGCACCCGGGAGGCGGAGGAGGAGCGCCAGAGGGAGCAAGAGCGCCGCCGGCGCCAGCGCAAGGCGCCGGGCGGCGGACGGAGAGTTGCTGACCTTTGGGACCGTCAGAGGCATCTTTGCCAAAATTGATAAACCAGTATCGCGAGCACACAAGTAAATCCAGTAGATCTTGCAAGTAAATCCAGTAGCACACAAGTACTTGTAGCACACCCTATATCAAGTAGATCTTGCCAAGTAAATCCTAGGTGTAGGGTTGAAGGTTGACCAAGGAAAAGGGAACTCAATCCCGACTGGGCAGAGTTTCCAACTGAGAAGGGGTCCGTGGCAAGGTACTTGACCTGATGTCAAAGGTGTGACATGTTGCAGCTTCAAAGGTAAACACAAGAGGAGCCCTCTGGCAATTGCACCTTGCGAACGGGAGAATACAATTTGACCTGTGTAACACAAATTGTTGTGTCAACGACCAATGTGCGGGTGTCCTCAACTTGTGCACCCTCAAAGTGGTTGGTTTCCTTTTTGTTTCCCTTCAAACACATTTAGCCAGAGGGCATTCTTGATTTTCCCAGTTAGCACACCCTCAAGGCCCCCCCCCAAAAAAGAAAGAAAGAAGAAGAAGCAAAACTAAAACGAAAAAGGTGCCCTTTTGGGGACAAAGTGAGTATCACCAACGACAGACTCAGTTCCGCCCAGGCTGCCGCGCAAGCGGCCAAAGACGCCAACCGCCGGCCCAAAGGCCAGAGATTGAAACGCCTGCCAGCCTGGAGACCATGGGATGGGGTTTGGGGGTAGAACACATAGACATTCACGTTCTGAGTTCCTGGACTTGATACTTTTTGGGGTTGGACCATGTGGTCATGGGTCAAAACCGTTTTGGTGCCATTTTGGGGTAGGTGCCCCACCCATTTTACTCTATTTTAGTGGGGATTGGATGTTCACTGGGGGTACGATTTGGATTTTGACCCATGGCCATTTTGGTGGCAAATGAACAGCTTGGACTTTTTTTGGCCCATCCACTCGATCGGAAGTGAGGCCAAGCCAGCCGCTGAGATCTGCTCATGGAGCCATTCCACTTCTACGCCAGTACACAAGCCGTTTTGTTTGCAAGAGCCAACAATACATTATTCTAAGGGTTGATTCCAACCATTCTTTTAAACCATCGTTCTTTTCAAAAACCAGCTGTTTCCCTGGGTTTCCGGAGGGTTTCTAGAGAGAAGGATCCCTGGAAAGCATGGGGAAGGTAGCACTAGAATTATGGTCAACACGGGATATGTGTCTGACCGTGTTGACGCATCACGTCAGTGTGAACATCTGGATGCTATGATGCTGGGCAACACGCGCTTTGTTGGTGCCACGCCTTGTTTTACAAAGGCAGCACATGTCATTGCATGACTGTCATACACGTTTAGTGCGAAGAAGCCCATATCATGTTTGGCGACGTCATTCGTGCGTGGACATCAGCTAACGGTAAGATCTGAGCACTTCCAAAGCAGCAGATCCCCAGCCTTTCCAAGCAACACTCTCCACTTTTGTGGCCCAGAGAGGTGCAAGGCAAACTGAAACTTACTACAATCAGGCCAACTGAGTCCGAAGTCCTGCCATCCAACAAAGCAAACAAATCCGAGAATCACCGCCCAAATGAACGTGGAACCAGTTCTAGGTCCCCTAGTAGTGCCCTTTTACCTTTTTTTTTGTGGGAGGGTTCCCCTGCTAAAATAGACTACTGCAAAAAATTGGGAACCCTCATTCTAACCTCTCTACTGGAGGACCTCGAGTTGTTGTGTGGGGTTTCATATCAATCTGAGGCACTGAAAAAATCGCCTGGCTTCACCAGGCCCCCCACCGGAGCCGATCGACCTCACAGCGGCGGACTTCGAGCCCAGCATGGAGGAGTGACTTGATGACCCTCGTTGACCCCCGTTCCCTTTGGGAGGTCAACGCAACAGCCTTGCTGTAGTCTCACTTCTCAAGTTCCCGGACTTTTTTTACTTTTTGGGAAGACCATTTTAGTACTCTTGATTTAGTACTCGAGAAGTGGTGTCCCACCGCGGAGAAAAAGGATCTACCTTGGGGTCCCTGCAGGCGAAGCTTTGGAATGGCCATGGGGTCGACGCTTGCCATCTCCTTGATGTTATTTGTGTTCTTCCTTGAAGCGCCCTGCAAGGCAAGCTGGCGCTGGCATGTTGCTGGTTTGTTGAGCAAATTGCTGCGCAATAAGGCGACTATGAGCGAAGCCTAAACTCTAAATTCCAACAACAAAACAAACAAAAGGCCCTACAAAACCCCAAATCCAAAAACCATAAACCCTCAATGATTAAGTTGAGTTGTTTTGAGTTCGAGTTAAGTTTGGTTGAATGGGGTCTAGTTGAGTTGATTGAGTCGAGTTGAATTGAATTGAGTTGATTTGAGTTGAGTTAATTTGAGTTGAGTGAATGTGAGTTGAGCCGAGTCGAGTGAAGTTGAGTTGAGTTGAGATTCGAGTGAAGTTGAGTTGACGAGTCGAGTGAAGTTGAGTTGGTTTGCGTCGAGTCAAGTTCAGCTGAGTTCGTCGAATTGAGCGAAATTGAGCTGAGTTGAGACTACGACCAAAATTTGTTTCGAAACTAGGACCAAAATCAGAGGGCTACCTTTGTCGGTGTTCCCAGTTAGGGGACATATATACGTGACTCATTTTGTTGGAACCACAGGATTGGGACAACCACCCCAAAAGGTCCTCCCCCTCGAAGCACGCACGGCTCAAGGAGTGGGAGCCTCCCTCCGAGATGTTCGCCCGGCCCTGGGAAAGCAATGGCTTGCTTGTGACTGGTGACATGGGTGTGCCTTTCTTAGCAGGCCTCAACCCCCAAAATCAAAATGATTCTTGTTTTTTTTTTGAATTCCCACAAAAAAGGGGTACCCTCAGAAACGCACACAGACCAAGAAACAGAGTAATCCTATCTATCGCAACGAAGCCAGGATACCAACTGGGGTACCTCACAGACAGCAAGCCAAGGGGGGGGGGAACATGTGCCCACTTTAGTCCGAAGAGAGTCCCGTTTTTGGGACGTGCGAGACCGTGAATGTTTCATCAAGCGTGTCCAAATCCACCCTAGGACAAACCTACCATTCTGGAACCATTGGGGAACCTCACTTCAGTTGCAACATCCAAATAGACAACATTATTTGGACTGATCATACCCTTCCGGTCGGTTCCCGAAAATATAACAGGACCAACCGCAAACCACGGTAAAGTACTAGTGGCCTTGTTGCAGTGTTTAGGGACTCCACTGTACGATCGGCATTTGGCGCGCTTGGCCGTTGAAGACGTTATGCCAAGCCGACGTATCTTAAGAACTGAATGTACTCAGGAACTCGGCCGCGGGTTCACTTCTGCGTGAAGATAACTAGCTCCCCCAGTGGTGCCCTTTTAACATTTCTTGGGGGGAGGGTTCCCCTACTGAAATGGACTACTGCAAAAAGTTGGTACCCTTATTCTAACCTCTCTAGTGGCCCAGATAGCAACCATGTATTGTGATTCATGGCTCAATATATTGATAACTGGGCTGCACGTGCCGTTTGGGCATTTGGGGTTGGGCTCGTGATGTCAAGGCAATTATTTCGAGATTCACGGGAGGTGGGGAATCAACATGTGGGCCCATTTGGAGAGGACCAGAATGGCGGAAGGTTTCGTCTTGGGCCCCAAGTCACTTCCAGCCTTCTGGCTGGCCATTTGGGTTTGAATACGAACCGGGGAACCTTGGTCTTCATTTGCCGCGAAGACTAGGAATACCACACAAAGGTTACTTGGGTGTTGACCACCGCGACGTGTTCCCCACCGAAGTTTATAGCCGTACCGTGGATGGTTGCGAAATCCATTTCGCACCACGTTGAGAAGCCCTTTCTGATTCGATTCCCCCGCGCAAATACCCACAAAGCACCTTGGTTTCAGGCATTTCGTGGGGCATTTCGTGGTGTGATCTCCGGATTTCGCACCAGGGTACCACGCCTTCGGCGCTCGGAACCCGCGGCACCGGAGGCAGTTCCCTTGTGCGCCGCCCCTTTCGAGTTCCCCGCGGCCCGCAACGCCGCGCCGCTGCCCGCCCGGGGCCGCGGAGGGTTCGGGGGGGGACCTTGGCGGGGGGCACAGGTGGAGTTGTTTTGGCCACCGTTTTTATCTTCTTTTTTCCTGGGGACTTGAAAATGGAGTTGTTTTTTCTGTTTTCAGGGGGGCTTAAGCAAATGGAGGTTCCGTTGTTTGAGAAGTGACCATTTTTTGAGGGGGGGGGGCATTTTCCACTTTGGTGATTTGTTTGTGAGCGTCCATGTTCACGGCTTCAAAAAGGTGTCGCAGCTTAAGATGTTTGGGTGCTAAGCACCTTTTGGCTGAGATGAATGTCGATGAGTTTTCCCCACTGGAAAATTGTTTTTGTTTTGCTCCAGGGGACTTAAGCAAATGGATGAGGCATTTAAACACGTTCTAATGGGTTTGTTTCAGCTTCATCATTTGCTTGCCAATGTAAGCAAATGGGTACGTTAGCCCATTGAGGGTTGCCCAATGTAAGTAGAGTATGTTTGCTTGAAGCTTTGTACCCTTCGTGCGTTCGTTTACCAGTAGATCCGGCGAAGCCGGGGCAGGATGTTTCAAACACGTTTCTTCAAACATAAAATACAGTAACACAACATAACAACTATAGTTAGCTTTCACTTTCTGTTATTATTTTTATTCTTGCTGTTTGCCATTGTTTATTGGTGCATTTATGTCTTTGTTTCGTACTGTATTTATTGTTTTTGTTTTATTCATCTATATAATTGTTGTTTGTTTATTTGTTGTTTTCATATTTCAAATGTCCCTCGTTATTTCCATCTTTCCATCTGTCCATGTTTGTTATGTCTGTCTTTCTTGCTTTCTTTCCGTCTGTTGTTTGTCTGTTTGTCTGTTTGTCTGTCTGTCTGTCTGTCTGTCTGTCTGTCTGTCTGTCTGTCTGTCTGTCTGTCTGTCTGTCTGTCTGTCTCTCAGTCTGTCTGTCTGCCTGCCTGCCTCACCATTCTTAACGGGCTAGGCTCTGAGAACCGGTGCCAAATGAGCTAGCGTTTGTTGAGGTAAAACAATTTGGCGTCTCAAGGCTCTTGTCAGATAGCTAAGAGTCAATGGATGGTCCTACTCATCATCTTGAAAACGCGGCTGGCACAGATGCTGGCGGAACATCTCTGGTCGCGGGTGCAGCTGTTGCTGGTGCTTCCGGTGTGACGGTGGTGTCTCGGTGCTGGTGCCGGGCAATGGGAATTGGCCGTGGCACGGGCTGTGACTGCGCGGCTTTGAGTTTTGACGGATGCAGTACCCGCAACAACTGTCGCTGGACAGAAATCAGAGTGATGTCCCCAGGTGCAATTCGTGCCCGAATGACTTCTGCCTGGGGCATTGTTCCGGGTTGGGCGTGTTCGGGACAGCCTCTGGGCAAGCGGTTTTCTGAGCCGTTTACCCCCTAGCTGCACGTGGCTAGTTGTGAAGCCGAGGTCTTGGGGCGAAGCTGCTTTTTGTGCTCCTAGTTTGCCCTTGGCCCCCTGCTAGATCTTCCCTCATCCATTTCTCCGTGAAATTCGCCCCAAAAAGCCACCAAACCACCCGAGGTTTTGGCGAACTTCTTCTTCTGCTGCTTGTTTTCTGGGATCTTCTGCCAGATCCCTGACCTCCCCCAACCCCTCCCCACCCAACCCCCACCCAACCCCCACCCAACCCCCAGCCCCTCCCCCAACCCCTCCCCCAACACCTCCCCCAACCTTGGGTTCGGGCCGCCGCTGCACGGAACGCAGGCGGTGCCGCTGGAGCCGCCGCTGCCGGCGGCCAACACGGTGATGAGCCTCGCACTGCCGATGGACCGCCCCGAGGTGCGAATTGGACCGGGGAACTTGGGCGGGGGTTGGGGGCGGGGGTTGAAGTGCCCGGAGACTGCTTCTGACCTTCAAAAATTGGGTCACCCAAAGTAAAGAGGGGCATGACCCCCAGGTTTAGAGGAATTGAGGTGGCGGAGACGACCTGGCGGTTGGGTTTGTGAGCCTTTTGGAGCGGAAGGGAGGGAAGGACGTTAGACCAGCTGGAGGTTGGAAGGGAGCTGACTCGGAGCTACCAGGCTGTAAGGACATAGTAGTCGACCGCTTCAACAGGTTGTCTCAAGATTGGGGAAAGGTTGAGATGAAGTGTCTCCCAAACTTAAGAACCCCCTTGGCTTCCTTTTGGCTGACCCTTACCACCAAGCCTAGCCCATGACTGTTCCACAAGGACTTCTCAGGTTTTCAGGATTCCGGGTTCATCCTAAGAGGTCATCCAGAGATGCAGGGTTGTTAGTGCACAGCATTTTGGCCAGCAGGTCACTTTAAACAACAAACACAACTTACCATGCTCTTCCAAGGACCTTCAGAGTCCATGCAGGGTAAAGAGCTAAACATGGGGTCGGCACGGAATTGAATTTTGCTTTTAGGCCTGGCTCACGTCATGGGGATGTGGAAGGCTGATTGCTGGAAGGGACACCACTTACTTTGGGATGGCATTCAAAGTGAACATCCCTTTGAGTGTCCTCTTTGTCAACCCATGCACTGGCGACCTCATCTTAGACTGTGCTTCTGGATTTAACCCACAGGGGATGTGCAGCCATATGGATCTTTGTTTCTAAATGTGTGTTGCTCATTGAACACCTTGCCCGCCAGAAATGCGACGACTGGGGATATTCAATCCACTCTTTCCTCCATCACCTGGAGTTGCCCAAGAGGGGGATGTACATCCATGGTTTGGACTTAAATCTGAGCAACTTGCAACCTCACAAAGGGGATGTGCGACCGAGAGACGAAGGAACCAGAGCTCGTTGCAATCGTTGCTTACTTTTCAGTTTTTGCCTCTTTGCTGTTGCCCCTTTTTTGCCCGACCAGCCTGTTGGCTTAAGTAGCCCACCAACTCTTGCTCGTTTGTTTCCTCTTGCAACCAACCAGGAGTTCCTTGTGCAGTGGTTACCCTCCCACCATGGAGATTGATGTTCGGGGGGTCCTGGTTTAGATCATTTTTCTTTTAAAGGGACTGGGCCGCAAACCAGGTTCCATGTGAAAAGGCTGGGAGGGTTAGTCTGGCCAAGATGCTTTGGTGAATCATGGATTTCCAAGGCCATGAGCAAGATTTACCTGAGGTCTTCCTGCTGCCAGCCGTAGGGATTCGGCAATAGAATCAGGACTCTGTGCTTTGTTCAAAAGAGGGCCCTTTGCAACACAGGCTCCTCCAAACCGGATCCTGCTTTGGGTGGTTTTGCCAGTTGCTTCTCAGCCGTTTCAGGGTCTTTGGATGAAGGTCCACGCACAAATAAGCCTGCAAGAAATAGATACATCCTACATATAAGTGCGCGTTCTTTATTGGTTCCTTGAGCAGATCATTGAGAGATCTAAGTGCTTGAAGTGTTCATGTCCAGCAAGATGCAATTGTTTGGGGAATCCACTGTAACGACTGGAAGTGCCAGATGGGAGTGGAGCTGCATGAACCCTTAAGACGCGTTTGCTGCAATCCGGACGCTGCAGATCATTTCGGCTTGCGCAGATGAGAAGCATATCGCTCCTTTGCAGAATCCATCGGTGTGAGGCCTGAATTACATCAATCGGTGACGGTTTCTTCTGGAAAGAAAAGCACACGAAGAAACAAGTCAAAACAAACAACTCAAAGGGCCAAAACCCCGTGCGTCAGATAGGTCACTTAGCTTAAGGGGTACTAAGTAATATAGGCCTCCAACAATCCGCTCGACACGAGCCGCGCCGATTTCGGCGGCGCATTTGACACATTGGGCGAGCGTCGGGGCCTCGACATGGGGAGATTTGGGTGTGCGGTTTCAGTTTTTTTGTGGGCCCCCCTTTTTCAGCTTCCCTCGTTTTTGGCGGTGAGCCCTGTGGTTTGGTGATGGTGGTCTGAAGTGGTTTCCCATGTACCCAATAGAACCAGGGACCCGTTCAAATCCCGAACCAATCCGAGCCACCAACGAAGGGTGACCTGACTTTGGGCTAGCCAGTGTTCATGTTTCTGCCTTGATTGGGTCGAAAAGGTTCTTGACTGTTGGGTACATGGGGTGCCTTGGGTCGCATCTGTTTTTATGAGAGTCTGCAATAGGTAAACGCACAGTGGTAGTGCCCTTGCTGGGCTTACTCCAATTTATATGAGCTGTTTCGGGTGAGCTGAGTTTTCAAGAATGGCAATTTCTGGGAAAAAATGAAAGGACGTAGTAACAACATTGGCGCCGCTGAATGCATAAGGAAGAGCAAATCCCTACGGTGTGCAACTGTGGATGGACAGAATCCTGCACAATGGAAAGCCATTGTTCGTGGGTATTTACAGGAAAAATCAGCATTCCAAGGTTTCTTAGATAGTGCCTAATAATTTTGCAACCATTCAGCACTTCAAATGGAGTGAAACACTCAAACCAGCCCCCTAAGCTCCTGAGCTCCTGAGTTCGAGTTCAATTTTCCCGTGGTCAAAGTTCAAAAGCTTGTTCGGTTGATTAGGAATATCTGGAAATTCAAGGCCACCTTGTTGAAACCCTTGCGGAGACACGAGCATCCAAGACCAAGCAGGCTAGGTCGCGTTTTACAAGTGGTGCACTGGTGCACTTCTCGAGCTCCTGGAAGCACGGCTACCGAGACATGCGCTGCGCCAGCGCTCCCGCTCGAGCGGATCAATGTTTTGAGGCCATGACGGGCAGTGGATATGCTGAGCCGCCGCCGGAGCCACGAAGGGACGGGGAGGTGTTGCGCTTTTGGGGGACAATTTGGGCAGGTCCCCAAGAAGTGCCCTTTTACCCTTTTCCGGGGGAGGGTTCCCCTACAAAAATGACTACAAAAAATGGGTACTCTTATTCCAGCCAGTCTACTGGAGGACCTAGATTTGGGCAGCACTCATTGTTGGAGTACTTCCCGGCAGACGAACTTGGCACCCGAAAAGCAATCATGTTGTTTGAGGAATCTCGTTTGAGGGTCCCTTATTCCATATTGATTTGGGAGTTGTTTTGTGTCTTTCGGAAGCGATTGGAAGCAAAATGGCTGCAGGGTGCATCCGCGGTGTTCTCCGGGTTGGGTGTCCTTTTGACCCGCGTAGGCAAGCAAGGAGACCCGCACAAAAATGTAGTCCTGCTTTTCCCCGAAGCAGAGAGTCAACGGGCAAGCCCCGGGAATTAAACTGAGCACATAGACCCCCAACATTTGTGGCACCTGGGGCGCTTCTTTTGCACCATTTTTCAGCTTCCAAGGTTGGTTTGTATTGACCTGATTTCCGTGCTTTGTCACGTGTTTCACCGCCTCGGGTCGAAGTCGTAGCATACGGCAGCTATGAATTGCAAGGTTTGCTACCTTGCCCAAGACACAACATATTTGTCTCAGGTCAGAGGTCATTCATTTGCACGGCCAGGAACATGAAATGGCCGAGTTGCTACGAGGCTTGAGCTTGTTAGGACCTGTTTAGTTTTTTGGACTCCAAAATCCCACAACTTCAAGCATCCGTAAATATGCGCCAATGCACCTTAAAGGCAGTTGGTCACGAGTGTTGTTGATACGCACGTTTTATTTTTTTTGGTTGTCAATGCTTTTGCCTTATGGGGAACCCTTTCAAGGAGCAACCCCTTCAGCTTTGTTTGGAGCCCACGTGCTGCCACTGCTTTGGACTCGAATCGCCCTGGGTCCTCATGCATTCGGCTGAATGCTTTCACGTTCGAACTGTTCACCTTTTGGATAGTGTTGGTTTCCTTCATTTGTCCATGGGGCATAACCAATGGCTCCATTTTGGGGTGGATGAACATCCATTTGTCACCTATTTTGATGTTCACCAGGGTACAGGGTTTTGACAACCACTGCCATTTTTCTGGGCAAAAGTTTCAACTTGCAGGGTTTCCATACCTTGACAAGCCCAGTGCTTTCAGGCAGTGACTCGGCATGTTTACCTGTCAGCTTTTTTCCATGGAGGGTTTCCTTTGGTTACCTACTATGGGTATGGGAAAAACATAAACCGCCAGGGGACCGCAGGTTTGAGTCCTTGTGTCCATTTGCCAGGGTTCCATTGTCAGCCATACTGTGGATGGACGAAATCCTGCACCACCAAGCAACCATGAGACACCATTGTTTGTTGGTATTTACAGGGGAATCAACATTCCAGGGTTTCTCAGGTGGTGCGAAATGGATTTCGCAACCATCCACAGTATTGTGGCAACTGGGAGCACTGGGAAGGGGTACGAGGTCAGAGACATTGTCCGAGGCCGGTTCTGAAGCGGTCCATGTTTGCGCCTCACGGGGCGCAGCTGCGACCACAGTGCCCGGGGTAGATGGGTGGATGGTCGCGGGCAGATGGGTGAATGGATTCTGTGTCTGCAACTTACAGGGATTTATGGGGAAACCGCCCATTTTGAGATGACCCACAGACCGCAAGAAAGCCCACAAATTCATGGAGCACTTCAAGGGAAGCTATAGGACAATAGGTGTCTTGGTGATTCTGGCTGAACCTGACTGTCACTGGTCTTGTTTTGGCTCCACACATCGGCCAGTCCCAGTGGCATCGAATGTAAATGTTTGTCAACTGCGCGCCTGGGATTTCAAGCGAATAGCAGTCTGCCCGGGTCCTTGTTGCAGCTAAGGTCAGCTTTCACATCCTAAACTTTGGCACTTGAACATCCAGTTGCAAAGTATCTTGTGTTTTGTTTGGACAGGGAGCTCATTTGTAAAGCCATCCACCGAACAAAAGTGTATAGGGTTTAAGTATATTGTTTCGTTTTGACTGCAAAAAGTATATGCAAAGCCATCCACCCAGCAAAAATGTAGGGCTTGGGGTCTTTGGGATAGGGAGCAGTCCCTTTGGGGGGTTTCACTCTTGTGCACCGAACCAGAAGCCCATTTGGGGGTGACGTGTGTTTTTGTAATGGAGCCAAAATGAATTGTGGTTGTCCTTCTGGTTTCCCTCTAAAAACGCAAACAATGAGCGCCCTCGAACAAGGGCGCCGAATCTGGGAGAGCCACTTTGTGCTCTGCGTCTTTGCAGGTGAGTTCGAGTGACCACGTGCTTTCAGGTACGAGCAGGAGGATGAGTGGAACGAGTTCCTGGATCGCACCGACACGTCGAAGGCGAATCCTTTCGGATTCGCCGGGCGCTTTTGCGAAGAATTAAGTCCACAAACTGAGGGAGGGAGGTTATCACTTCTGTTCTTGGTTCTCAGGGAATGAGGCAATGACCCCCTAAACAAATATTGTATCTTATTGTTTCCTTCGAGGAAAGCCTTCGGCGTTCCCAGAACCCTTACTTGAATTCCCTCTGACCAGCAAGTCCCGGGTCCTGACCTTGGGGAAAGTCATTTGGCAAGCAACAAGTTTGGACTTGTTTGGGCCAATCCACTCAGGAGGTGAGTGGTTTGCAACAGGTTTCTCTTGAAGCATCAGTCAAAACCGGGGGGCGGGGGGGGAGGGGCTGTTTTTCTTTGTGTGGTCGCAAGGGGGGACACATCAGTGGTTGTTTTCCTTGTTCCAGCGTCACATATGTCTGTTCTTCTTGTTGCGGATTCCTCCTTCGCGTCACTCATGGAATCACTAAACGCAGATAGATCAATCAAGAGTCGGTTTGATTTAAATATGGAATCCCGGCCATGCGCATTGAACTTCCTACTACAAGATTGATGGCCGTTCATCCATCCTTGGACAAGATGATGATTTGTGTCACTGACTCGGTTGGAGGCTATGGAAGTGTCTGGAGAACTTCCGAAGAAGCCAATAACCTACGCATTAAATGGGTGTGTCTTTTTGAAGGGGGGGTCCTTTCTGTTTCCCGTTAAACATAGAGTTCTACGTTAGCCAAATTGCCGCCCCAAAAACATGTTCTTGGCTAAGTTGCTGCAGCACTTCCACGTTTGCGTCAAATTCTTCTCCCAGCCTTTGGAAGACGACTTTCCTTTCGAGAAATTGTTTGCGTGCACAAACGGGAGCTTGAAGGTTCCTTTCTTTTTGGAGCCGTTGGTGCATTGCCCAAAAGGAGATGCCTCCAAAAAACAAGGTCACGGCGTTGCTAATGACCACGCTGCTTTTGACCATGGCGACCAAGCACGTTTACCAAAATTCCTGCATTTTATGAACATTTCGTTGCATCGTTGACACGCACCATGTTTATGTTGTTTCCTTTTTACCATGGCTTTGACAAGAAAGGGCCAAATCGCCTGAGAATAGCAGCACTTCGCGCTGCTGGCCAACACACGCGCGTTTCTTGAGGCTGCCGGCCTCTTTTTTTTCCAAGGCAACTTCTCAAAGCTTAAGTGGTAGACAAAGGATCTAAGATGGCCAGGCGAGATATCGTCTTCGTCGGCAGACATGGCAAGCTCGCCACACTGGCTTGAGGATGGTGCAGAAGTGAAGTTGATGACCAACAAACGTCGGGATAGAACAAAACAGGCAGCACGCAAAGCCGGGGTAAGCGGGGAGCGGGCGCGCGAGAGCGTCAGCCAGGCAGCGCGAAGACGCGGCAGTGCAGCAGGTAACCGACACCAGGACAAAGGGCTTCGAGCAAATATCGCACCAACAGATGCCGCAAAATGCGCGAAAGGATCAGACGAACTACCAGCGAAAACTTCAAAGTGAGCGTCCAACAAGAACGGATCACACGTCCAAAATGCCTGGAACCACGAGTCAACAATGGGGCAGGGTGCACACGCGACACGCAGCAGCAGAACGTACGCAACACAAAGAGCGAGAACAAAATGATGACCCATGGTCCTGGAGCCAAAGGTTGGGCCAGTGAATGCCTCAGGGGTGAAAGACGCAGTTGAGCGGGTGTGCTTATCATGCCCCCCCCAATCCCCCCCCCAGAACCATGTTATTTTGTAATCCGGTAAAAGAGCAGGCTGGTCTGCAGCAGTTGAGCGGGTGTGCTTATCATACCCCCCCACCCACCCCCCCTCCCCCCCCGCCCACCCATCCCCCCCCCCGAACCATGATGCATGAACGCAGGGATGAACGTCCAAAAAACAAAGAACTCCACGGGGTCGTTCAGGACGCCGTGAGCAAAAACAAGGGTTGGCCGGGCTCCATGTGAATCCCATAGGGTTCATCTCAAGCAAGCCAGGTTTTTTGTGCCTGATTCAGACTAGGGGAAGCCAGGCAGAGGAAGCTCACGAACTGAATTCGTGGACTTTAATTTTTTTGTTGGAAAGACCATTGCAGTGGTAAACAACAAGTTCGGTTACTTTTTTGGGATAGGCCCATCCACTCGATCGCAAGTGAGGAAGAGGGGGGTTTTCGGGGGATAGTATATGAGATTTGGAGTGATTTGTTCTGTGTCCAGCCAGGTTCACGACTTTGGCAGATATTGGTGGACCTACGGCAGCTTGATGGATCTCCCGGGCGGGGGTTGTCTTTGGGCGGCTTTGGGCGGGGGAGGGGCCTGGCGCGCCATGTCTGGGAAATCTGTGGTCTCTATTGGAATTACTTTGCGGTTTAAGGTGAGCTGAATATGCCACTTTTGGTGGAGAGAGGGGGCAAAAGTTGAGGTAAGCTCGATGTGGGACATGGCTTTTATCTTCATCCATCAACAGCTTTCAACCTTCGAGTTGCTGCCTGATCCATGTTGAATCATCCGGCGCTTCTTGTCTGGTGGTTTCTCGATTTGGCTTGCTAAATATGATTGTCTGCTTAGTGGTGACTTGCTTATTGTGCTGGTTGCCGTGAATTTCTCGACAGGGCACAACGCCAGCCGCCTGCGGTGTTGCAAATCCATGTGTTTTCCCTGTCAAATTCTCTGTGAGTCTGGGAATGCCTTTGATGGGGCATGATGGGCATTACATCAGAAAAGAGCGGCAGCAGGGTATTGAAGACACAACAGGTGCTTGGGCTTGGGTGCAGCTGCGAATTTGTGCTTTCGCCCACAAGTTGTTTTTTGTTGTATTATTATTGATCCTGGTTAGGGGCAGGAGATCGACAGCGTGGCTCATTGCTCACATCCTGAGGCTCGAGTTTACGCTTCTCTGGTTTTGTCATCAACGTCACCAAGTGCTGAAGTAGATCATGGATTCCACGGGATACTCACATTGACCTGGGAGCAACCAACACACTTTGGATGAACGAAAATCTGCACCACTTTGAAGGCATGGGACGCCATTGTTTGCTTGTATTTGCGTTGGGGAATCGAATCATTCCAGGGTTTCTGAACGGTGGTGCAGGAGTTAGTCCATCCATAGTGTGTGCAACCCCGACCAAATCCTCATCCCTCAAAAATCACCCATTTTGAGGCCCCAAAATCCATCGCGACCCTTGGGGTGGACCCTCAAAATGGTTATTGCAACCCAAACTTACTCGCTGACCCCCAAAATTGGCAATAATCCAAAAAAGAAGCACGCCGCTCAAACACATAGGGCCACCAATCGGCTGAGGCCGCGACAAGGATGATGACGGCCAGCTTCGGGAGGCGGTTTTCCTGGAGGCACGGCCCGCGGAATAAGTGGGTCGGTATTCCCCTGCAAGCACCGTTTTTGAGATCTCTGGGTGAGTTTTGATGCAGTGAACCCAAAAGAAATCGGTTGTTTTCAAAAGAAAGGGGATTTGCCTTGGGAGTTGCGGAGGCTGTTGCTTACATAGATTGTTCTAGTGTGGTTGTTTGCAAAAGAAAGTGGATTTGCCTTGGGAGTTGCGGTTTAAGGCTGCTGCTTACATGAATTGTTCTATTGTGGTTCCTTGATGTTAGTTTGTTGAATGTGCATGGGGGTGTCCCTCCCCCCCTGCCCCCCAAACAGACGGCTTTGGGGTACACGATTTGAATGACAGCTTGCCAAGTTTTCGGAGAGATTTGTAAAAGAGATTTGTTGATTGAGGCCGATCGGACATGATTGATGGTGCCTGCATTAGACCAGGTGGAACATGATTTCGTTTGTGTTTTACACCTATCTGTCATGGGAGGGAGACCAAAGCCAGCCTTCGCGAGGGTTGATTAAACAATGTGTGCTTAGTCATGTTGGTACGTTTCGATCTCAATCAGAAGGTGGTTTGCCTTTTGGTTTCCCTTCAAACCAACCCAAAAATGGTACCCTCGAAAAAGTAATAACAATACTAATATTGCTAACACTAGAAGTAATACTAATGATGCTAGTAATACTAATAGTACTAGTACTAATAATAACAGTACTAGTAACAATCATAATAACATTATAGAACGAAAACAACAATCACAACAACCCGAGTTTAAAGCGGAAGTTGGCCACCAGCCCTGCGCTTCCGCAGATCCCTCTGCGCAAAGACGTGGAAGCGCGGCAGATCCGGGCGCACCTGAGCATGAGGCAGAAATGGGCAGGGCTTCGTGCCGGGGTTGGCTTGGGGAACGGGTTCCAATTTGCTTTTCCTCCATTGGCTTAAGAATAGTTTTGATTTTGAACCAAATAGAAGTTTTGCATTCCATTTTGAGGATCCTAGATCAACAAAGCAAAAGTGTGCTCTTGCTTTTTGCCCAGGGTTGAGTTCTTCTGTTGTGCGCACGGGGGGAACATTGTTGAGTCATTTTATGGATGCTTCCTAAGAGTGGGTCATGACGCACACACACACACAAACATTGCGCCTGGTTTGTGCTTCAACACTGCCGGTGTTGAGTTGCTTTGAGTATTGCTGATTAGTTACATTCCGGATTCCGTGTGCGTTTTTGTGGCGCTTTTGTCCCCAAACCCATGTATTTTGCAGCGGCTTCTGGGCACTTTCCGCATACCTGAGCGACAGGCAGCTGAAGCTTGTCGTGCATGGCGACACCGTTTTGGAAGAGGACAGAATCCTTTCCACATACCCTCCTAACCCCAAGAAGGAGTGTTCCTTACTTGCCCTGATTTCGTGGCTAAGCGTTCCAAGTCATTCCGGGGTTAGAAGCTTCCAAGGACCCAGAAATGCCAGGAAGCAAACAAAGCAACTAGGGGAAACAGCTGTTTTGAGACATTCACAATCCTAATGGATCCCAGTTACCATTATAGTAGGTACGTAAACAGCCATTGTTGTTTTGGTTTTTAAAGGGTGGTTCCCTGAGTTGCGTACTATACAGGTAAATGGATCCACTGGGTTAGTTGGAAAGACTGGAGAATCAACCCCTAAAATAATGCAGTTGGAACTCCTCTTCTGGCTTGCCATAAACGGGCCGCCGATTGACCTGGGAACAATGATCATGGTGCTTTCCCTCCCCGCTCAAGCTGGTGGCTTGATTGAAACGGACATCCATGAAGTTGGTCCACTAATTCCGCTTGGCGAGAAAGTGTAGTGATCAGCGATGTGAGCACCTTCCCGACTTTGTAGCTGCATCAGCTTTTTGGAAGCGAGCATGTTCCGTGTAGTGCCTGAGCAACTTGCACGCTGTAGTTGAGCAAGGCTGGCCAGAACTGCCTGCCTGTTGACCCACTGGTTCTTTTTGGCAGCTGCAGTGTAATTTACTGCTCACTTGCTGGGTTTCATGCTTTTGGGGAGACCATTTTAGCGGCTGAACGTTCGGACTTTTTGGCCAACCGGTTGTGGTCCAGGGGGGGACAGGGAGAGCGAGGGAAAGAGGGAGGGAGGGAAAGAGGGAGGGAGGGAAAGAGGGAGCAAGAGAGGGAGCAAGAGGGAGCAAGGCAGGGAGCAAGAGCGGGAGCAAGAGAGGAGCAAGGCAGGGAGCAAGGGGAAGGGAGAGCCCACAGCCCTGCAGGATTTTGAGGATTCCAAGTGGCTAGATGTGGGCGAGTCCTACTGGGAGATCGATGCTTTGCTAAAATGCGATGCGCCGGTGCGGTGGAGTGCCAATCCTTGTCGTCCACGATATCATGTTTGTGGGTTGGGCTACACGGGCCGACCTCCCGACTTTGCCGATATGAGTATTGAAAGGACATGGGCATGTGTGCAAATAGGGGAACCCCAACATGGTTGTGGTCCTTTTGGTTTTCCTTTAAATGCCACCCTCAAAGGGCACTCCTAAAAACACATACCCACACATGTACGCACATCACATGCAGACCGTGTGAGCTTCTTTTGAAGTTGCCAGTCTCTTCTTTTTGGGTTCAATTTCAACCCACAAAATTTCAGGCGAGGAAACCTCATTTTCCGATGCACCCTTTGGGTCATGTGACTTGGCACGCCTCGCCGAGCTTCGGATTTTTTGCAGTTGCCTCAAAAGGGCCTCGCTCGTCCACGCTGAATTCAGTTGCCAGTCTAGTCACCAAAGGAAAAAAAAAGACACCAGGGCACTCGCTCGTTTTCCCATCCCATGAGGCTGACTTGGCGAACCAAGTAACGGAAATATTGGCACTCCGTCAAATGAGAGGGTTCAAAAAACTGGCTTGCTTGATAAGATTGATGAGGGGATGGTCAGAACGGCCCCGAGCGTAAACAAATCTTGCGGGTGCCGCATTTAAAAAAAAAAAAAAAACGCGTGGGTGAGAGCGCCAGAACTGTGGTGTTCGCGTAAGAAGCTTTGCGAGTGAGTTTTTGTGCGGCCTAAACTTGAACTCCGAAGCCTTGGTTTCTGACATTGTGATTTTGCATGCATTGCCTCCCACCAGTTCCCGAACGCTGACAGATCCCTAATCCCAAGCAATCTATGCAGGTGATACCCATCTACCAACTCCAAATGGGTCCAATGTAGTATTTACCCATCTACCAACTCCAAATGGGTCCAATGTAGCGGTATATATTGAGTACACGGATTGGGAATGGATCATATAACTCCTCTTCGTGACATGCTCAGTGTTAAGACCTTGATGACGAATTTCAGAGCGGCCCATCGATGCAGTTGTTCTCAGCGTGGTGGCTTCCAGCCATCCCCTTAGCCTTTTAGATCTTGTTAGTTGGTCTGGTGGTTGGGTTTCCATTTGACCCACAAGTTAAACTGAGGAGAGCCAAGTCAAGGAAATGGGTAGTTTTCTGTTCCAGCAGGACAAAGAAACAGCCAGTCCGGCCCCCTCCAGTATTTGCCTTCGGTCAATGTTCGTTCGGCTTGTGTTTCTCCGAATATTGGAACCGAAAAAGACCATCCTGGACTGGGGATCTGTAGCCGACGTGCAGATTTGGTCCATAAATTATGGCAAGCGGTGGTGCAATTGACCCATTTTTGGAGCCAATCCAAATGGGCAACCAACAAAAATAGGTGTCTTTTAATTCTCATTGCACTCCTCCAAACACATAAACATATATAAACAAATGGTGGTTTGCTTTTAGGTGTCCCTTGAAAAAGAAGCACACGACAAGGAGTACCCTCAAAAACAGATACACCCAAATGGACCCAAAATGGTCGGGTACTTCATCCCAAGTTCTGGGTTTAAGTCGTGTAAGGAAGTGAAGGAGGTGAAGAAGGTGAGGCGCAAGGTGCTTCGGCGGGGGCCCTGGTCAGACAAATCCGAAGCGGGGGCAACATGTCCCACTCCGAACGGCATGTAAACTAGGTCCCCCAGTAGTGCCCTTTCTCACCCCTGTTTTGGGGGAGGGTTCCCCTACTAAAATAGACTACAGAAAAAAGGGTACCCTTGTTCTAATTTCTCTACCGGAGGACCTAGTACATGTTGAACCGCTGATCTTGCTGGGAGATTCTTGTTTGTGGGAGTCACTCGATTTGGCGCCAAGTCATTTTGACCAAACCTCATGTGAAGATGTGAATGCGCTGATCGATCACTTTGTGCTTCCCCTTGCCTCCCCCATTGTTCTCAGGCGCTCGTTTGTTCCTCCACAGTCCTCAACAAGCCCCCCCCCCCCCAAACAAGGTTCATTTCGACTGCAAAACAGAAGCATTACTTCATGGGTGATGGTTTGATGATCAAATGTGACCTGGCCTGGGGTCCGTGTATAGTGCCCGCTTTGCATCTTCCCAACGGAGCCAGCCAGTGGTTGGCCCTCGGACACCGTTTCGAAGAGCAGCCCATGCTACTGGCCTGTGCCAAAGCCAACTTTGTGCAATACGAGAAGGCTAGCACGAAGCATGTGGCAATCATTTAGATGCTTTGCCTTGATGGGTGTTTGCCTGTTCCGTCACCGAACTCAAGCGCTTGTCATAGAACAAAGAAAGTGATAGACGTGTCCAGTTATCAGCCAGTCATCCCAGGTTTGCATGCAACCAGTATGTCTTTCCATGTGGGGTGTCTTCTTTGATGGTTCCCCGTTTGAGTGGATTTTCAGGGAGTCGCACTTGGATCAGTTGTCCATGCTGCGACTGGCAGCGCGTGTAGGAAGATTCAGGGATGCCTTGAGAGGCTCGAGCACTGCTGAGGTACGTGCTGTACGTGATGACGGAATGTGACTGGGCGAGATTGGCGAACACAATGTGTTTTTTTTCTCTAGTTTTCGGGTGATTTAAAGGGAGGAAGGACACCGACAATGTTTGGCTTTGTTTTGGCTTTGCCAGATATAAAAATGTGTTTTTCTAAAATGGTTTGTGTTCCCTTGGACAATTCAAAAGAGAATCTGGACTAGGATTGGGCTTGACCCCCTCTTGCGGCCCACCCTGAATCCGTGTGTGTCTATGGTTCGTGTGCGGCTTCGACAAGTCGAGGGCTGGTCCCGTCACAGACTTGCAGAGCCGCCAAGTTGTTGAAAACCGGGCCTTGGGACCCGCGTCGAGGCCCCAAGTACATCACGCAGTGGCTGTTTGCCTCGGAGAAGAAAGAGGATGATGGCAGGTACATTGACCAGGAGGCTGGAAACACCCCCAATTTGTCCTCCGTTGCTTGGTGATGGGTGATTTTTCAGGCATCTAGTCCCTTAGCTCTTTAGCTTTTTGGCTAGCGGCTAGTATGGCTAGTTTAGTGGGGTTTCCCATCTACCTCACTAACAGCTCTTCACTTTTAGACAGCCCAGGTGGTGTGCCAATCAACGCGTAGAGGTGTCTTCCTTATAATCACCTGGGCGCTGGGCCTGGCCTGAAGTGCGAGGGCGTTGCGGCGACAGCTCGATTGCGCACGGGTCACCTTTTTGTGGTCCTTCGCTCGTCGTATCGAGTATTGTCCGAGGAAATCTGAGGTAGCATTCGGATGCTGCGTAAAATGTAACATTTTACCAGTGGCTACACATGGTGCAAGGCAAATATCGTTCGCATCTTGTGAAAGGTGCCCTCCAATCATGCTCTTACTACTATAAATGTTGGTATCAGCACTGCTTGTGTGACACCGCACCCTTCGACAGAGTCACTCGCTGATCAAGCAGCTGTGCCACCGCACCCCTCGACAGAGTCACTCGTTGCTGATGAAGCAGCTTGCCAGGAGGAAGAGGCGGATAACATTGATGACCGTTTGCGGATGATTGCAGCTAGCCTAGCGGCGGGCAGGGGAATTGTGTCATTCCGAAGTGAGCAGTGGCCAAAACCATGGGATTTCTATAGCGCGACTTGATGTAAACCGTTCCCCCCCCCCATGTCGGTCCAAGCGTAAGTCGGTGTTGGGCCCTCAAGCGCAAGAGTGCGTCATATGGTACCCAGGCCATGCCTGCGGGAAACTGATGAGAAGCCGCGGATGAGGTTCCATTGTTTGCGCAAGAAAGAAGGATGGGCCATGAGAAATATGAAAATATAAAAATAAGATAAAAATGCGGCCTCACCCTCATGAATACCAGTTTCCGGGAAGTCCCTTGTTGCGGGGCTTGAGCATACTTAGTTCTGGGCCCAGTTTCTTGTCGCGGATCGATCGCTGAAAGGTCAGACAGCCCTTCCTCGAGATGTTTGTCCAAATTGTAACCTGAGGCCAAGATGAAAGAGCCCGAGCCCCACCGGGATGCTGACATTTGGTTCAGCGAGACGGAGGAAGAGGAGGCGACATGAAAGAATGGCCGCTGGATGATCGGGTTTCTGTCCAGGCACCAAACAGAGACCTTAAAGTAGTGGGCCTCCAATTGAAGGCGTCACCACAGGTGGGAAAGACTGATGTTCCATGTCAGCTTTTGGAGAATGTTGATCGTATCCAAATATCATGAAGCGCCATCATTCTGCATTTCGGGACACGGGCCCTCTGAGGTTTTGCTTTCGCCCTGATCAGATAGTTAATGTATGTGTTGCTTCCTGCATTTGAGCCATTCATGATGCATGCACCGTCATATCAAGGATATCTCGTCAAAGCTCGGGGAATATGGGTCGTGAACCGGACGCATATACTACCACCAGTTGTTGCTATGCCCATCTCTAGATTATGGGACAACATATGTGAAGCTGTATGAGCCCCTGTTCATGAGTCGCCCAGCAGGCTAAAGCTTCTACCCGGAGGTTGTGGAGTGTTGTTGTTTATTGACGCTACGTGCTATAGCTGCCGTCCCACCAAGAAAGCCAGTCCTACGGAAGACCGTTCCATTTCGAACAGGTTGTGGTGACTCAGTTTCCTTCATCATGTTTTTTTCCACCCCCACAGGAGCGGTGGTGCGATGGCTGTGGTTCTACCCGCGTGGTGATCATGAAGAAGCATACAGATGCCGGAAGCCCTGGAGACCAAACAACGACCATATCAGATGGGGTGTTGTAAAATAACAGCAATATCAGGGGCTAAACACTTACACACACAAATTATGCTCCAGTGATCCTGACGAAATGTGCGTTGGCAGAAAACCAAAATCCCATACTAAGTCTTTGGGCCCTTGTACAGACGAAGACACGATTCGCAGTATTGATTGGTGTGTGTGGAATATATTTTTGGATCAGTTGCCTTTGGTGCATGTGTTGAAGTGTTTGTTTGAATATGTTTCGGAGCACTTGTTGGAGTATGCTTTGGAGTTGCTTGTTTATTTGGTTTGTGGAGTAGTTTGGAGTTTTCAATTACTGCATGTCTACAAGTCGTGTAGCTTTTGCGCCCTGTCTCTGCGGTTTTTTTTTGGCGGAATGGAATTGATAGCATTTCCCCATGCGTTGGGCCAAAGACACCTTGCAAGATCCTGCAAAATTGGCTGGTAGAAACTCACGCTTGAGATTAGAGGTGTTGGCTCTTGAAGAGGTGCAACCGGGTTGTGCTTGCTGACAAAAGAACGAGTCATCTCTGCTGTTCTACGCATAGTGCAATCCAAAAGATTGTGTTAGCTTGGTCCATTCATCCAGGTGTTTTGGAACTTTACAATGAACGGAACCACGCCCGAGACGGTTGATATGAAACACCGGAAGGAGCTATATAGCGGGATGCAAAGCAAACGCATGAACTGCCTCCAAAACGGCCCGGGCATCCCTTTAGGCGCCTTGAACAGGCGTGCAATTTGCGGGCCTGTGGTTCAGACAGAACCAGCGAAGCCAGGATTAGTGGACCGCGCGAGCCTATGGGCTGGGGGGGTTGTCAAAACTTGGCGATGCTTTTTGGATCCCTGGTGCTTTGGATCCTCAAAAAAGGCTCGCCATTTTGTTAAACGTCCCGTTTCAGTGTATACAAAGAGGATCACCACCCTAAGGGTCACGACCCCTCCAATGCAGACCCCGGACCCTCCAATGGAGAACCCCGACCAAATCCTCATGGGCCCTCAAACACAACCCATTCTGAGGCCCCAAAATCAATCCAGACCCTTGTGGAGTACCGGCAGCCTATCTTGGAACCCGAAAAGCCATCATGTTGTTTGAGGGATCTCTTTTGAGGGTCCCTTATTCCATTTGATTTGGGAGAAAACCACACGGATTGGGCAACATCTCGCCGTCTAAGGCCAAGTACATGAAGTACTGCAACGACTGCCCCTTTGTCTCGCCGGCAAAGGCCTGGCAATGGGTCGCCCAATGGGTCGTCCAATCATTCGTGGGACTTTGGACGCGTTGGACCTTTGACTTTGGATGACAAATCTACTTTGTGTTGCTGCCGTCTTGGTGCGGGCATTCTGTTCAGACAAGAAGAGCTGGCTGAGTCACCCATGGCAATTTGTGTCCGAAGGCAACACTCAACAATGCTTGTGCGTTGGGGTGTCCACTTCAAGCGAAGACTGAGCCTGCGTGTTGCAACAAGCTCGATCAGCCCGGAAAGGGCCGTAGAGCATGGCCCGAGAACGCCTTTGCTTGCCCTGCGTTCTTATACATGCGCAAGTACTGTAAGTGGTGTTGAGTCGGTTGTGCACTTAGTGTGTTGTGTGTGGTGTGTCTGTCTGTGTGTTGTGTGTGTCTGTGTGTGTGTCTGTGTGTCTGTGTGTCTGTGTGTCTGTGTGTCTGTGTGTCTGTGTGTCTGTGTGTCTGTGTGTCTGTGTGTCTGTGTGTCTGTGTGTCTGTGTGTCTGTGTGTGTGTGTCTGTGTGTCTGTGTGTCTGTGTGTCTGTGTGTCTGTGTGTCTGTGTGTCTGTGTCTCTGTGTCTGTGTCTCTGTGTCTGTGTCTCTGTGTCTGTGTGTGTCTGTGTGTCTGTGTGTGTCTGTGTGTGTCTCTGTGTCTCTGTGTCTCTGTGTCTGTGTCTGTGTCTGTGTCTGTGTCTCTGTGTCTGTGTCTGTGTCTCTGTGTCTGTGTCTCTGTGTGTGTGTGTCTGTGTCTGTGTGTGTCTGTGTGTCTGTGTGTCTGTGTGTCTGTGTCTCTGTGTCTCTGTGTCTCTGTGTCTCTGTGTCTCTGTGTCTGTGTCTGTGTCTGTGTGTCTGTGTGTCTCTGTGTCTCTGTGTCTCTGTGTCTCTGTGTCTCTGTGTCTCTGTGTCTCTGTGTCTCTGTGTCTCTGTGTCTCTGTGTCTCTGTGTCTCTGTGTCTCTGTGTCTCTGTGTCTCTGTGTCTCTGTGTCTCTGTGTCTCTGTGTCTCTGTGTCTCTGTGTCTCTGTGTCTCTGTGTCTCTGCGTGTCTGTGTCTCTCTGTCTCTGTGTCTCTGTGTCTCTGTGTCTCTGTGTCTCTGTGTGTCTGTGTCTGTGTCTCTGTGTCTGTGTCTGTGTCTGTGTCTGTGTATGTGTATGTGTATGTGTGTGTGTATGCTTTTGCTTGTTTGTGTTTGCGTGGCTTATTGATAGTGTTTCCCCGTGTTCGTCTCTTTCGGACGACCTTTAATTTTAATGTCTACCAGTAGAATAAGGAGTCGGACAGATAATTTGTCGACTTGGTAGTGAACATGCCAGCAGAAGGCTTTTCCAAGCGTTGTTGATTCTTGCCAAAGATGTAAACACTTCCGCCCCTCCCCTCCAGAAGCTCAACCCCGCTAGATTCAACAGGTTTCTTTGGAGAAGGTGGTTTGCAGGAGAAGGTAGTTGTAGCCGCTCTGCGGGGTTGAGGACGCATCCAGAAATTATTTCAACTGTTAATTGGGCTGGGATTGAAATCAACATTTGCTTTGTGCGGGAAAGGGATTGTGCTGAACCCGCGTCAGAGTTTAGAATTGTTTAGTATTGGATCCCGAAACAAAAGCAAGCCTTAGTACTCGGTGGTATTTAGTCATCCAATGTTAACATTTGCTCGTTTTGCAATCGGCAGCTGAGATATGTTTCGGCTCTAGGCATATTACAACATCTACCTTGCACTTGTGGTGACAGACACGATTTGCAAAGAAAGACAGCAGCTTTTGTCAAGAGGCTACAGTAAGCCTGCCTACTCAGCCCAGTGGGAGTTTTGTGACTGCTGGGCTTTCTCGGCAGGCTAGACAGACAAGCACGGCCGTACCGCATGGACAGAGGGTTTTCTCCAGTCCACCGAAAGCTTGTGCATCAGGGCAAGCTGTGTCTGCAGTGGTTGCGGTATGCTTAGGATTCTGGCGGAGAAATTGTGTGTGTGTGTTGTGCTTGCATCAGCTGGCTGTGGTTGCCGTGTTGAGCATATGATATTAGACTGCGTTGCTTCAAAATGAACATATTAGTTTGTTTCTTTGAACTTGAAGACTTGCTGGGTTGAGTCAAGCGGTGCAAGCAGTAGAAGGCATTTGGCATGCATCCAGTACAAGTTTAGCACTGCAAATTCAACAGACTGAGCCCGCCTACTCAGCCCACTGGCCTTTTTGTGGCTGCTGGGCTTTCTCGGCAGGCTAGACAGACAAGCACGGCCGTACCGCATGGACAGAGGGTTTGCTCCAGTCCACCGAAAGCTTGTGCATCAGGGCAAGCTGAGTCTGCAGTGGTTGTGGTATGCTTAGGATTCTGGCGGAGAAATTGTGTGTGTGTGTGTTGTGCTTGCATCAGCTGGCTGTGGTTGCCGTGTTGAGCATATGATATTAGACTGCGTTGCTTCAAATGGAACATATTAGTTTGTTTCTTTGAACTTGAAGACTTGCTGGGTTGAGTCAAGCGGTGCAAGCAGTAGAAGGCATTTGGCAGTAAAAGTTTAGCACTGCAAATTCAACAGACTGAGCCCGCCTACTCAGCCCAGTGGCCTGTTTGTGGCTACTGGGCTTTCTCGGCAGGCTAGACAGACAAGCACGGCCGTACCGCATGGACAGAGGTTTTCTCCAGTCCACCGAAAGCTTGTGCCTCAGGGCAAGTGGCGGACTTTTCGCAAGTTGAGTTGTGGCTGCAGTGGTGGTGGCATGCTTAGGATACTGGCGGCGAATTGAGTGTGTGTGTGTGTGAGTACAATTGTCAACTGCCTGGATCAAGGTGCGTGCATCAGCTGGCTGTGGTTGCCGTGTTGAGCATACGATATAAACTGTGTTGCTTCAATTAGAACATATTAGTTTGTTTCTTTAGTCAAGCGGTACAAGCAGTAGAAGGCATTTGGCATGCATGCAGTAAAAGTTTAGCACTGCAAATTTAAAAGACTGAGCCCGCCTACTCAGCCCAGTGGCCCTTTGGTGGTTGCTGGGCTTTCTCGGCAGGCTAGACAGACAAGCACGGCCGTACCGCATGGACAGAGGGTTTCCTCCAGTCCACCGAAAGCTTGTGCATCAGGGCAAGCTGTGTCTGCAGTGGTTGTGGTATGCTTAGGATTCTGGCGGAGAAATTGTGTGTGTGTGTGTGTTGTGCTTGCATCAGCTGGCTGTGGTTGCCGTGTTGAGCATATGATATTCGACTGTGTTGCTTCAATTAGAACATATTAGTTGGTTTCTTTGAACTTGGAGACTTGCTGGGTTGAGTCAAGCGGTGCAAGCAGTAGAAGGCATTTGGCATGCATCCAGTACAAGTTTAGCACTGCAAATTTAACAGACTGAGCCCGCCTACTCAGCCCAGTGGGAGTTTTGTGACTGCTGGGCTTTCTCGGCAGGCTAGACAGACAAGCACGGCCGTACCGCATGGACAGAGGGTTTGCTCCAGTCCACCGAAAGCTTGTGCATCAGGGCAAGCTGTGTCTGCAGTGGTTGTGGTATGCTTAGGATTCTGGCGGAGAAATTGTGTGTGTGTGTGTTGTGCTTGCATCAGCTGGCTGTGGTTGCCGTGTTGAGCATATGATATTAGACTGCGTTGCTTCAAATGGAACATATTAGTTTGTTTCTTTGAACTTGAAGACTTGCTGGGTTGAGTCAAGCGGTGCAAGCAGTAGAGGCATTTGGCATGCATCCAGTACAAGTTTAGCACTGCAAATTCAACAGACTGAGCCCGCCTACTCAGCCCACTGGCCTTTTTGTGGCTGCTGGGCTTTCTCGGCAGGCTAGACAGACAAGCACGGCCGTACCGCATGGACAGAGGGTTTTCTCCAGTCCACCGAAAGCTTGTGCATCAGGGCAAGCTGTGTCTGCAGTGGTTGCGGTATGCTTAGGATTCTGGCGGAGAAATTGTGTGTGTGTGTGTGTGTTGTGCTTGCATCAGCTGGCTGTGGTTGCCGTGTTGAGCATATGATATTCGCCTGTGTTGCTTCAATTAGAACATATGAGTTTGTTTCTTTAAACTTGGAGACTTGCTGGGTTGAGTCAAGCGGTGCAAGCAGTAGAAGGCATTCTGCAGTAAATGTTTAGCACTGCAAATTCAACAGACTGAGCCCGCCTACTCAGCGCAGTGGGAGTTTTGTGGCTGCTGGGCTTTCTCGGCAGGCTAGACAGACAAGCACGGCCGTACCGCATGGACAGAGGGTTTGCTCCAGTCCACCGAAAGCTTGTGCATCAGGGCAAGCTGTGTCTGCAGTGGTTGTGGTATGCTTAGGATTCTGGCGGAGAAATTGTGTGTGTGTGTTGTGCTTGCATCAGCTGGCTGTGATGTGGTTGCCGTGTTGAGCATATGATATTAGACTGCGTTGCTTCAAATGGAACATATTAGTTTGTTTGAACTTGAAGGCTTGCTGGGTTGAGTCAAGCGGTGCAAGCAGTAGAAGGCATTTGGCAGTAAAAGTTTAGCACTGCTATTTCAAGAGACTGAGCCCGCCTACTCAGCCCAGTGGCCCTTTGGTGGTTGCTGGGCTTTCTCGGCAGGCTAGACAGACAATCACGGCCGTACCGCATGGACAGAGGTTTTCTCCAGTCCACCGAAAGCTTGTGCCTCAGGGCAAGTGGCGGATTTTTCGCAAGTTGAGTTGTGGCTGCAGTGGTGGTGGCATGCTTAGGATACTGGCTGCGAATTGAGTGTGTGTGTGTGTGAGTACAATTGTCAACTGCCTGGATCAAGGTGCGTGCATCAGCTGGCTGTGGTTGCCGTGTTGAGCATACGATATAAACTGTGTTGCTTCAATTAGAATATCTTAGTTTGTTTCTTTAGTCAAGCGGTACAAGCAGTAGAAGGCATTTGGCATGCATGCAGTAAAAGTTTAGCACTGCTATTTCAACAGACTGAGCCCGCCTACTCAGCCCAGTGGCCTTTTTGTGGCTGTTGGGCTTTCTCGGCAGGCTAGACAGTCAAGCACGGCCGTACCGCATGGACAGAGGGTTTTCTCCAGTCCACCGAAAGCTTGTGCATCAGGGCAAGCTGTGTCTGCAGTGGTTGTGGTATGCTTAGGATTCTGGCGGAGAAATTGTGTGTGTGTGTTGTGCTTGCATCAGCTGGCTGTGATTAGACTGCGTTGCTTCAAATGGAACATATTAGTTTGTTTGAACTTGAAGGCTTGCTGGGTTGAGTCAAGCGGTGCAAGCAGTAGAAGGCATTTGGCAGTAAAAGTTTAGCACTGCTATTTCAAGAGACTGAGCCCGCCTACTCAGCCCAGTGGCCCTTTGGTGGTTGCTGGGCTTTCTCGGCAGGCTAGACAGACAATCACGGCCGTACCGCATGGACAGAGGTTTTCTCCAGTCCACCGAAAGCTTGTGCCTCAGGGCAAGTGGCGGACTTTTCGCAAGTTGAGTTGTGGCTGCAGTGGTGGTGGCATGCTTAGGATACTGGCTGCGAATTGAGTGTGTGTGTGTGAGTACAATTGTCAACTGCCTGGATCAAGGTGCGTGCATCAGCTGGCTGTGGTTGCCGTGTTGAGCATACGATATAAACTGTGTTGCTTCAATTAGAATATCTTAGTTTGTTTCTTTAGTCAAGCGGTACAAGCAGTAGAAGGCATTTGGCATGCATGCAGTAAAAGTTTAGCACTGCTATTTCAACAGACTGAGCCCGCCTACTCAGCCCAGTGGCCTTTTTGTGGCTGTTGGGCTTTCTCGGCAGGCTAGACAGTCAAGCACGGCCGTACCGCATGGACAGAGGGTTTTCTCCAGTCCACCGAAAGCTTGTGCATCAGGGCAAGCTGTGTCTGCAGTGGTTGTGGTATGCTTAGGATTCTGGCGGAGAAATTGTGTGTGTGTGTTGTGCTTGCATCAGCTGGCTGTGATTAGACTGCGTTGCTTCAAATGGAACATATTAGTTTGTTTGAACTTGAAGGCTTGCTGGGTTGAGTCAAGCGGTGCAAGCAGTAGAAGGCATTTGGCAGTAAAAGTTTAGCACTGCTAATTCAAGAGACTGAGCCCGCCTACTCAGCCCAGTGGCCCTTTGGTGGTTGCTGGGCTTTCTCGGCAGGCTAGACAGACAATCACGGCCGTACCGCATGGACAGAGGTTTTCTCCAGTCCACCGAAAGCTTGTGCCTCAGGGCAAGTGGCGGACTTTTCGCAAGTTGAGTTGTGGCTGCAGTGGTGGTGGCATGCTTAGGATACTGGCTGCGAATTGAGTGTGTGTGTGTGAGTACAATTGTCAACTGCCTGGATCAAGGTGCGTGCATCAGCTGGCTGTGGTTGCCGTGTTGAGCATACGATATAAACTGTGTTGCTTCAATTAGAATATCTTAGTTTGTTTCTTTAGTCAAGCGGTACAAGCAGTAGAAGGCTTTTGGCATGCATGCAGTAAAAGTTTAGCACTGCTATTTCAACAGACTGAGCCCGCCTACTCAGCCCAGTGGCCTTTTTGTGGCTGTTGGGCTTTCTCGGCAGGCTAGACAGACAAGCACGGCCGTACCGCATGGACAGAGGGTTTGCTCCAGTCCACCGAAAGCTTGTGCATCAGGGCAAGCTGTGTCTGCAGTGGTTGTGGTATGCTTAGGATTCTGGCGGAGAAATTGTGTGTGTGTGTGTTGTGCTTGCATCAGCTGGCTGTGGTTGCCGTGTTGAGCATATGATATTAGACTGTGATTCCTTAAATAGAACATATGAGTTTGTTTCTTTGAACTTGAAGACTTGCTGGGTTGAGTCAAGCGGTGCAAGCAGTAGAGGCATTTGGCATGCATCCAGTACAAGTTTTGCACTGCAAATTCAACAGACTGAGCCCGCCTACTCAGCCCACTGGCCTTTTTGTGGCTGCTGGGCTTTCTCGGCAGGCTAGACAGACAAGCACGGCCGTACCGCATGGACAGAGGGTTTGCTCCAGTCCACCGAAAGCTTGTGCATCAGGGCACGCTGTGTCTGCAGTGGTTGTGGTATGCTTAGGATTCTGGCGGAGAAATTGTGTGTGTGTGTGTGTGTTGTGCTTGCATCAGCTGGCTGTGATTAGACTGCGTTGCTTCAAATGGAACATTTTAGTTTGTTTCTTTGAACTTGAAGACTTGCTGGGTTGAGTCAAGCGGTGCAAGCAGTAGAAGGCATTTGGCAGTAAAAGTTTAGCACTGCTATTTCAAAAGACTGAGCCCGCCTACTCAGCCCAGTGGCCCTTTGGTGGTTGCTGGGCTTTCTCGGCAGGCTAGACAGACAAGCACGGCCGTACCGCATGGACAGAGGGTTTTCTCCAGTCCACCGAAAGCTCGTGCATCAGGGCAAGTGGCGGACTTGTCGCAAGTTGTGGCTGTGGTGGGGGCGGCCGTGCTCTGGTGAAGAATTGCGACACGTGTTGCCGTTGTCGCACTTTGTAGGCTTTACAGGTGTGGATGGGCATGTGTCCTGTTGTAGTTATGCAACATCCACAAGCCGTTTTCAACGCCTCTTGATTCAAGAACAAGCCCGGAGCCACCATCAAGCACCCTTCTTCGGCCCTTGTATTCGCACCGGACCGGTCCAGTGGTGGATTCCAACGGCTTTTAAGGCGCTAGGGTGGAAACGTCGGATCCATAGGTGTCCTTTTTGGTGGTTTTGATCGAAAAATAGATGGGTTTCCCTGGTTTACCTGGTGTTTTTTTCTCATCCACCAGGGAAACCCATCTATTTCCCCTAAAAGGACACCTACGGAGTCGGATCCCTCTGGACATGGAGTCGGGAGTCGCGAGTCGGGAGCCCCCTCTTTTGATCCGAGGAGGTCGGCTTGCCCACGGGCCTGCTGAAGCAGAAGGCTCCGGTCTCTTGGAAGCTTCGTTGGTGAGTTGAACAGGGCTCCTGAAAAAAAATCATTTTGCAACCATTTGAAACATGTTGCTTTGTCAACACCAAGATGAGGGGAAACCACCATCAGCAAGGCAATGTTCAGGTGTATAATGTAAGGATCCCTGTTGAATTACGCCCACAAAGAAACTGCTGAAATACAGAATATGGTTGGATATGGCTTCCGTTATTGAGTGCGGGTGCTGCATGCCTCAGAAATGGTTTTTCCATTTGTTCCAGACGGATGTTTCCTGTTTCCCGTATGGGTTGTAAATGGACATTGACAAGCAGTTGTAAGGCTGCGAGGCTTGAGAGGGTTGGATTTGTTGTCCTCACCTGTTTTGAGAAAGGGGGTTGCAAGGTTGCGGATGGCCGAATTATCGTATAGCTCTGCCCTTGTGGGATTTCCGTCATAGTGCCACTGACCAGAGTTTGGCGCTTGATTCACAGACCTAACATGGAGAAAGCACCAGGAACTTGCTAGGAGAAAGGACAGCCTGCGGAGTTTTGGGCAGAGAGCTGGTTGCCAGTTGATGGATCAATTCCAAAAGTTTTCGAAGCAACGCATACTGCACTTGTGTATACGCATGACAGCATGGCAGACATTTGCGCCCACGTCTAGGCGACCTAGGCCCCGATTGGCTCAACATTCAAGTCCACTGCAAGAGTGCCCAGTCCCGCCAAATTCAATCCCACAGCGATTCCACGAATGGAGATGTCTGGAAGTGTCGGATTCCAGGTCGATTTTTGCAGAGAGCCAATGCCGTAGACCAGCGGTCAAAAGCCGCCTGTAGGACGGTCTTGAAACTCGCCACGTTGGCCCCGTTGAAGATGGCACCTCCACATGATTTGTTGCCGGCGAAAGCGGCGGTCATACGCTTCTGGTGCTGGGTACGCAGTCTGGCAGCACCAGAAAGCACTCAATATCCAACCACATCCAACCTCTGCATCTCAGCAGTTTGTTTGTTTGTGGGCGTGTGCCTTTCTGAGGGTAGTGTTTGAGATTGTTTTCAAAGGGAGACCAAAAGGACACCTGCCACCAGTCAGGGCTTCCCTATTTTCTGCAAGAGAAAACAAACTTCATGCGCTATATATATGTATATACATATATACTTCTCAACCCACGAACATGGAGGCCAACGAGTGGTGAGAAGACAGCTTGCCGGTGGACATGGACACTAGTCACCAACACTCTCAGAGTGGCTTGCGATGGAGGATTCATGGTTTGCGGTCAATATTACGAGCAAAGCAGCATTGCCGCACATCCACCATCCCTTCGGCAATTCTTCGCTTGCAGGATATTGACGACAAGAGGGCCAGAAAGCAGCGACTCCGAGCGTCTGGCCTAAGGGAGCATGGGGGTCGATTGGAATTTGTTGAGTAATTGAGTAATGAATTACAAGATTCTGTGGACACAATTCGAATGGATGAAACCCAATGACTACCAACTGCTTTCCATGCGGATTTTGTCCACCTGACCTTGCTCATTTGATCCCATTTGAAAACCTTTGTGGCATGTTTTATTCTTGGCCTCAAACGGTTGTGCCAACCGCACGGTGAACTGATGCCTGCTGGTGCAACCGCCCCTTTGGGTCGGTAGTGTTCGATCACATTTCCTAGGCCTCTTCACCTGCAACAAATAAACGAGATCCTTTTTTGTGGATTTCCACCTCAGGATTGGTAGCTATATTTGCATACACACATGTTGGGTCCCAGCTTAGTTGACCTTTGGAAAACGTATTGGCCTTGAGCAGGAAAAATAGCATCGGAGGTCTGTTAGGAACTCGCGCAGGCTCAGGTTTGTACCGCATATATATATATATATATATGTGCTATAGATTGTACCGTCGCTTGTGTGTACTCTCTTGAACGGGTTTTAGCAGACCTTATACGTGACTGGAGGTACATACGTATGGGACGGACTTTCCGTGGGTGCAGTAGGGAACTTTGAAGCAGAAACCGCTGGGAACACGTCCCAGGCACGACGCGAGGAGGCGAAAAAGCGAATGGAGGCAGCGGAAATTGGGAGCCAGCCGGTCGCAACCCAAAGCCTGCAGGGCGTTGCTTCCCTGGTGTTTGTCAGGGTTCCCCAGATGGGTGAGTCTTTTTTGAGGGTACCCTTTTTGGGGTGGCTGGAAACTAAAGGGAAAACCACCATTTCGGGGGTACCCCAAAGAAAGACACACCTATATGTCCCCTCTTGGTGGGTTTAAACATCACGCTTTTGGGCTAGTTTAAAGTGAATTTCCTTTGTGTGGGGTCATGTTTTCAGGGGACATGGGAGCTTTGCTTGTGATGTGTTGGTGTGTCTTCCATGGCGGCGGTTCAGCAGACCCGCTTTTCTCCGTGTTCGTCACTTGCTTCGGCCGACCTTTGTGCCTTCTCCCCTCTTCATCTCCAAAGGCGTGGCTTTGGAGATGCGCTTTCGGTTCGGTCTGTTTCGCTTTGGCTTCTCCTTGTTTGCTTTCAATCTGTAAACCATGCACCCAGTTTCCTCAAATTGGTTGGACCCGGCTTCGAAGCCAACCATCGCTTCCAAACTTGATGACTTTGGTGGCTTTGTCAAATTCCTCGAGATTCAGCGAGGGTCAATGCTTTGTGGCAGTGCATCGATGTTGAATTGCCAACGTTGACCCCAGATTAATCAACCACAGTTTATTCGGACGTGTTCCTGGTTTAGGTTTGGATTCTGGATGCAGGTACCACTAAATCAGCTCACCTGAAAAGCTCAGATGGCTGAGAGCCCAGAGAAACATCGCCTCAAGACGAATTAGTTAAAGTTGACCCCGGATGAATAAAACCATCCTATCAATAGGGGAGTGTCCCCATCCAAAAGTGATGACACTAAAAGTTATTCACTTTGAGCAAGTGGCCCATTGGTACCTTGCTTTTCACTGCGGGTTAGGTTCCCCTCGAAGCATCAAAGGGTCCACATCCGGTCAGCCATCAACTCGCAGGCCCAGAAGGAGGCAAAAGAGCAGCCAGATCGAAGTGAGGAGGTTGGGATCGCAGTTCGGATCGCTTTGGAGTCGAGTGAGGCCCGCCTCAGACAGGGTTTCCGAGCCATTTGCCTTTGTGGAGCCTCCAAAAGTGGCAATTGTTTCAATGGAAACCACCAGTGGGACACTCCAGTGCTCCCTGAGCAATATGATTTTGTCTCCAACTGGGGCACGCTCGACAGTTTGCGCTTGAGTTCCCTTGGCGTCAAGCCCGAAATGGAGGCGCTTGAACTAAAACACACCCGCTTTGGTGTACAGCTGAATGATATTTTAAGTAAGGCTTACCTCGGAGACTAATCAGAAGAAGGTATCTAATGATTGTCATGAACCCACTGAAAGGAAACTATGCCCCCGACGAGTCCGGACAGTTTGGACCTCGGAAGTGGGCTTCACGGTGCATTGTGGCCGCCGTTGGTGTAGTATCTCACACGCATTGGACAAACAATACGTCGACTCCGGGCTCCCGTTTGTCTGGCGCTCTCTGACGCTGACTCCTTCTGCCAAGTTCTTGAGGCTAGCCCAGCTTAGCAGAATCTGAATGACGCGGAGTCCCGCATTGCCGCCATCGTCGACCAAGCGGCAGCACAGGCTGCAGCAAGTCTTAGATCATGGCCACCAGCTGGTCGCCAGCTTTGGGCAATGATCCTCCCAGGCCAAGGTTCTGCGATACCCTGCGATTTCCCCATTCCACAGTACAACTTCCGAGAAAAAATAATGTTTCAAGTGAGTTGGAGCGACCCAGGGTGGTTTCACTACACCACTTGGGCGGCTGTGGTTTTTGTGCCTGTGGCTTGGCTGTTTCTTCGGAAGAACCGGCGGGTCCGATCCGTGAGGTGCCCGAGGACTACAAGCAGGAGGACGAAACTGTCCGGGCGCCGGCGAGAACTTTGGAGGTCTAAACCTGCGGGGCAAGTATATAGGAGGAGCTCACCGAACGTGAGCCAAACCCCCCACAGAATTCCAGGTTTTGGGCGGAAGGGGAAAAAACAAAAACAAAAACAGAGAATTCAAGGGTTTGGCTGGAGGCTCAAGAGAAGCCCAGGTATCCCACCTTCGATGGGCCCGGGAATTTGGCGTGCTTCCAAATCTTGAAATTCTGATTGGGGGTGGCCAATCAAGGGGCTCCCACTTTGCGGAGAAATCATGTATTTGCCATGGCGAGCTCACCAGGTAAAACGGTCTCACGTGATAGATGTAAGTCGTGAGCGACTTGGTCAAAAACCGGGTGGGTGAAGGCTAGTAAGGGATAACGCCAACCATAAATGGGTGCAGCAACCTCTTCAATTCCTTACATGGTTTTGGGGCAGACCATTCTGATGCCAGTGGAGGTCTTCGTATTTCAGGTTTTGTAGAGCTTGCACATGGAGCGGGTTGACTCCAGGTCCCTTCCGAGCGGGAGAGCCCCTTCACTGTTCGTCTCAGGGCTGTGTTTCTTTGAACTATTTGCCTGTCTCGACATGGGTGTTCATGTGGGTCCTTTGTCACAGAATTGTGGTGCTAGACTGGGCCTGAACTCATTCCTTTTTATCTGTTTGAAGCGTTGCTTGGGGCTTTGCCATTGCTTGTTGTTGGAAGAGGCTCGATGTCTTTCGTGGGCTTAGAATGAAAGCTGTACGCAATCCTTCCTGCTGGAGGGTCTCATGACTGAGCCGGGGGCCCAGTCCTGCGTGCGATTATCCTCGTTTGGGGTTTGGATGGTGGATCCTTCGTATCTCAAGCTAATGGACCCAGATTGTGGTGTCCCCTTTGGCTTCAATTTAAAGCAAACCAACAGTGCTGCCCTCCCACCAACTAACATGACAACTGACAGGGGGTCCCTTCAAAAGGAAATTCATCTTCCAGGTACCTTCCCACAGGTGCCATGTTGGTTGGAGGAAGGGTACCCTTAGACAGAGACCCCTTGTTCATTGTGACTCACCTTTCTTGAACAGAGAGGTCCAAGGGGAGCCTCTGCACTATCCTTTCGCATTCGGATGAAGACCCCACCAAGTGATTGATACCCCTCTAAAGTTCGGTCCAATTGCTTTAAGATCCCATGCCTGCTCATTCGAGTGTTTAAGGCTTCATCAAGATGAAGTAGCTTGCCATGTCTAGATTTTTGTTTTTTAATGTTCATGCAACTCATGTCAGCACGTGCCTGCTAGTTGTTAACTTCATAGAAACCCTCAGAACCATACTCAGTGGGCCCCCCCCGAACAACCGTCGTCAACTCCCCTGGGGAGCCGTCCCCCCCGCCCTCCGCCTTTTGTAAGCTGGAACCGCGTGGAATCCGAAGCAGCGAGGAGAAGACCAAGATCTATACCCGGGAAGACTTCCATGAGGTTTTGACCAAGGCGTCTGGCTGCCTGACTGACTGCGCCGAACGAAACCTCCGGATTTGATTTGTCCGGTTGTAACGGTGCCAGGCGATTTGTAGAACATGGTCCAGTGTTTATCTCTAAGTTGCTTGGGCGCACACGAGACTGAGATGTGGAGAAACCATCTGGACGCGTGGGCTTCGGGTCAAAATGCCATTAGCTCTTTGAGACGTCGCGACTGAGGAACTTGGTGTCTCCCAGCCATGCGGTTCCTTAGCTTTGTAATTATATGTTTAGTTGGTTTAGTGGTAGTGTCCATATTTAACCCACGAGAAAAGTGTTCACTTCTCGCAGGGGATCAGAGAACGGGCAGCGCAGGGAAGCCACCTTTGTGTTGAATATGAGTGGGCCGATACCGCGGGCCGCGTTTCATATTGGGATTGCACCTTTGCAATCGGTCAGCACTTCAGGTTTTGCACCACCTCATGGCAGCAAATCACGACTTGCGCACCTGAGCAACCGAGAAACCCGGGTGGTACCGTAACGTTGGTTGTCCATTGAATAATTTGGAGAGCGCACAATGGGCTGTGGACCGCCCCAAGTGCACAAAACCCTGTACAAGGAGAGGCTTGCAGGAAAGAAAACGATCACCTCCTCTTTGATGTTCTTCAGCTACCAGAGGTTTCGCAAGTTCACATGTCATCTACTTCGTTTCAGCTCACGGAGTTCACCGCCAGGCTCTGCGCAAGGGCGAGATCAAGTGGGAGGACTACTGACCCCTCAGGGCGGAGTTTGCATGGCCGCGCGGGGCAAAGTGCTTGTTCTCGTGCCTGGTTTTATGTACCCGCCGTGCTTGTTGTTCTCTTTGCTGTAGCTTCTCAGCAAGATCAAGCGGCACATGTCTGGCAGAACCTTATTTGGTGAAAATGAGCTGCCAGCTCAGTTGTTCAGTGGCACCCTTTTTTCCCCTTTTTCTTTGGTGGCTGCCCCACTAAAAATGGTCTTCCCAAAAAAGGGTTCCCTTATTTTCCAGGGTCGCTGAACAACTGAGCCAGTGGCTTACTCGCGAGTCACTACCTTGCCAGGGGCTGGCTTGATCTGCCCTTCTGCGCCGTGCCGCCAAGCCACCCACTGGAGTCTCACTGTAGAGTTCTGCCAGAGGAGCTCAGATCCGAAGTCCGAGCTCCACTTTTAGCGCCCAGTTTCCTCCTATGGCGTCTACATTCACTTTGGCGCATTTTGCCAACGGATGTTAGGACTTTAACTTTTTGCCAACTAATGGTTTTTCCATTAAACCACTAGCAGTTAATCTTTTAGCAGGGGAGCAGAAAGCAACCGAGTTCAAACTCACGTCCTTCGATGTGCGGGGGCATCGCCCCCGCGTTGGTGCGCCCTGCGCCCTGCGGGGGCGAAAGTCGATTCAGCTGCGCCGGGGTTCCGGGGGCATTTCCTTCTGTCAGAACCTCCAAAAGTGGCCAAAGGGAAGCTACCAACCTCCAACTTTTGGAATCCCCACGAACCCCTGTCCCATGTTGGATTCCCCAAAGAAAGGTTTCCACCAAGAAATGGCTCTGGGTCAAAAATAGGTACCCCAAATGGAACCCTAAGTGGAAACATGGACCAAAACCTGCGGTCCATATCCTGGGGGTTTAATTTTGACCCATACCCATTTTAGTGGGGATTGGGATGTCCACTGGGGGTACGGGATGTTGACCCACCGCCAAATAAGTGTCCTTCGGTCGCTTAAATTACCCACAGCCGATTCCGCTCTCCTCGCGCCAGCGCGTGCCTCTGGAGAACTTCTCCATTCTCACCCCAGCCGGGGCTCAGAGATTGCAGGGTGAAACGTAGACACCTCCCCAGAATTCGCGCCCCTTGATTTGTTTTGCTTCTTGGGGGGTCCTCATGGTTTTCCACTATCCGGGCAAAAAACATAATTTTGGCTGGGGTGCTAATTCTAGCCAAGGATAATGTTGACCCAGGATTAATAAACCCGTTCTATTATAAGGGAGGTGTTCCCTCCAAGAGTGGTCCCACTTAAAGGGGACACCCCCCTATTAATCACTCAGGGGTTTATTCATCCGGGCTTAACAATAGCACCAATTGCCGCCGTGTGAGTGATACCCTTTTGCCCAAATTGTCTGGAGCTTGTGTTCACCCTCTCGGGCTTACTCAAGCATCTGCGGCCAAGTTTCAGGCGTTTCGAGTCTTATGGTGTGAACACGCACGCGATCGATCGGCTTCCCGAAGCTGGGTTCGTCTTTTCATTTCGACCCCAAAAAGAGAAAGCAACAACTCGCTTGTGAAAGACCCGCCCTTCCATGCTGCTGAAAGGGGGCAGGCTGCCCAAGTTAAAAGGTAACTCTGTCGATTTCCGATTTCCAGTGGTATAATAAGTCCCTTAAGCTAGAAACGGGAGATAGACACAGGGTCACTCACCACTTACTCAGTAGCCTGCCCCTGCGCCAGTGTTTCCTATGTGTTTGCTTGAAACTGCGTGCTTTTCCCTGAATTTTCCTCGACGCCACTTCCAAAAGAGGTAGTTTGGCAACAAGTTGCAGGCCATCTTTCAGGGGAAGTGTAGGGAAACCAGCCTTCCAACAAGACTTGCTATTGTTGGGGGTTTCATGTTCGCCTGGAGGGCGGACCTTGACTTTGATCTCTTTTGATCTCATTTTGCAATTTGAAGGTTCTTTCTGTTCGGAACAGCATCCAACAATCTAGGGGTACCTTCCCCATTCTTTCCAGGGATCCTTCTTTCAAAAAACAACTTCCGGCAACCGAGGGAAAACGGCCGGTTTTTGGAAAGAGCGATGGTTGAAAAGAATGGGGAATCAACCCCTGGAAGCAACATACATGTTGCTGTGCCTTTTTTGGAGGCCACACTTTTTTTTGGGTGCTGTTTTGGGAGAGCAAAAGAAAACAGAACGGGGGTTCCCCTATTTTGACAGCATTTGGGGGGGGGAAGACGACTATCTTGTTCAAAGGACCACTCTTCGACAGGTTCAGATTGGAGCAGCATCCAACATACAGTATCCAGTGCTTCCCACTACAGCGTAGGTAATTTGGGGGAGGGTTGCCTATGGTGGCGAAACGCCTGGAAGAACTGGGGTATGTTCTGGAGGCAACCGCTGAGGTGTTTTTCTTTTTTTAGTGAGGGTACATTTCGTTTAGTAATTTTGATTGGAAACCAAAAGGACGTTTTCGTTGGGGGGTGGGTCTCCCAAAGAAAGACACACCCAAACGGAAGCAAACAGGCTATGTGGGGCTGTGTTTCTTTTTCAGGGTACCCCTTTTTGGTTGGTTTTTGAAGGGAACCTGTTTTAATTATGGCAGGTAGTCCTTTGGTTGCATCCGGTCCGAGGTGCTGGCTGAAGGTCGGAAGGGCAGCAAGGAGGCCTCTGGGTGAAGGGGAAACTGACGTCAGGACTTGATACGTTTGCTTCCATTTGCTCAATTATATGTCTCTATTTTCCCTGAATGGTTTTAAAGGGAATGTATTTTCCAGGGGGCTTTCAAAACAAAGTTCATACATGTTCGATCCAATCCACTTCCTGAGTGAGAAAAGTTGCTCAAACAAACGTGCTTTAAACACGGTTCCCCAACGTTGAAAGTAGCTTACATCCTTTTGGTTTCTCCGCAACCACCAAAGAAGCCCGCTCAAAACACAAGTAGAACCCCCCCTCCCACCACCCCGCAGAAGCATCGTCGCCCTCCCGCAAATCCATAAAGATTAACGCCTCCGGCTCAGACAGCCGCCATAACAGGCCTGCTTCCTTATATGCGTCGTACAGGTACAGTGCATGTGCACAGGCACAACTCGATTTGGAAAGGGACTTTTGATTGACCCGTGGGCTTATGCTTCCTTCTGGATCGACAACAGCAATGATTTCCTGCTGATGCTTCTTGGTGTTTGTTGCGTTTGTGTCCCTGCGTTCCTCTTGAAAGGTGCCGGCAGGACTTAAGGGGATCGAACATCTCAAGGCTTACACGCAACTGCGTGTCGGCTCCTTGTAGAAAAGGATTTCGCCTATGAGTCAATACCATTTGGGAGCTGCACGTATATATATATATATATAAAAACCGATTCAGACTACGAAAGGTGACCGTCTGGAAACTTCCCTAGTGGCACAAGCCCGCTAAAATGGTGTGCGACCACGCCGTTTGTGCCTCTTCTCTGTTGATGCTTCCTGGCATTTTCTTTTGTTTGTTGTCTTTCCTTCAAGAAATATTTTGACAGGACTGGAGTGGACACCTTTCGCTAGCCTCTGTTTGTTCACGCTCTTGTCCCCAGCTGGGGATGGCTGCAGTTGTTGTTTTCAGCTTCCCTCAATTGAGGGACAGGGGGTGCCACTAAGAAACCAAACTCGTTCCTTTCGGATACTTTCCTGTTGAAAGGTGTCCACAGGACTCAAGTAGGGACCTTTGGGTTGCCACCCTTTGCTCATGATCTTTTCCCTAGCCAGGGATGCCAGCAGGTTTTTGTGTGCAGTTTCCTCGCTCAGTTGGGAAAGGTCCCCACAAGGCACAATTAGGGACCTGTCGTTTGAAGCTGTTTGCCCTTGGTTTCCAGATTTGTTTCCCTAGTTGGCGATGTCCGTAGATTTGGTTTGCATTTTCCTCGGTCATTTGGGAAAGGTCCCCAAGACGCAAGTGGGGGTTGCAGATAAGGAGCATTTCTTGTGCCCAACACGCCGCTGTGTTTCAATCCTGGATTGCGCAGCCAAGTTTCAATCGGGAACATGTTGTGGCCCGTGGCGGCATTTCTTGCGGAGAATTGGAGCAGGATGCTTCAGGCAAAAGTGCCTTGGAGGGTGAGCAATCAAGCTCTGCCCACGCCTCCTCAACATGTGTGGTTTGTCTGAAATAGTTTGGCCAAGGCAGCTCCTTTTTAACCAGCTGCTTCGTCCAATGACCTGGAAATGCCAGGGTGGGTCAAGGTCAATCTGGATTATCCCAAACCTAGGGCCCCATTTTGGTCTATTTGTCAAAAGGGAAGGGTGCGCCCGCTGGTGGATGCATCAGACGGTGCTTTCCCGATCGCCTTGACTCAGCGAGTGCCCCATCAAAACAAAGCCCGGCCGTTGCTTGGCAAGGCGGGCGAAGATGCGCAGGCGCATGGGGTTTGTCCGGCAGGGAGACGCCAGCACTCGGGCTGCTTGGTTGCTTGGTTGCTTGGTTGCTTGGTTGCTTGGTTGCTTGGTTGCTTGGTTGCTTGGTTGCTTGGTTCGACCTGGAACCTTCAATCTTGAACTGTTTGGGGAATCAGCACACTCAAGCAACACAGCTTAAGTTGTTGTAGGTCAAAGACCGACCCAGAAACACAGGATGTAGCAGGTGTGTTGTCAACGCGCTTATATACGAGAGAGTTGTGGGGTTGTGCAGTCAACATTGCCCAAGCTCGGAAGAGGTGATCTTGATTCAACATCCTCTGCGTAAGCCAATGGACAATCCGTTGCTTGTTTTCTTTTTACTGACAGCGTGAACATTTGAGCCCAGCTCCATTGCGCCCAGTCTCACATGCCCTATGAGCATCAATGCGCAATTCCAATGTGCAGCTGTCGCCTCTCCGTCGACCTCTTGAAATTCAGCCCCTCGAACTTCGCTGGGAGGGCAAGAGCTGCCGGCAAGTTGCCGCGGCATGTCATGCGGGCAGCTTCCTTTTTGCTGCATCTCAACAGGATCATGTGTACCTGACGTGTGAGCATTCGAATGGCATCAGCTGGAATAAACATGTCAAGCCTATCAAGGTTATATAGTCATACGACACACCAGC